CTGCAGAGGGGCCGGCCGCCCAGCCCGGGGCCTGAAGGCCGGCACGCGGCCATCAGCCAGCAGGCGGCCATCAGCCAGCAGCCCCGTGCCCAGGCAGACTTGCTGGGGGCCCCCCTGGCGGCCCCAAGGAGAAGCAGAGGGGCTCCCAAGGGCCCGGGGGCCCGGCGGCAGGGTCCGGGCGGCAGCGGCTCCGCGTCCTCGGACTCCAGCAGCCCGGGCAGCCCCGAGGTGGTCCCCCGCTGGCCCGAGGGTGCCCGCAGGCAGGCGGGGGCCCTGCAGAGGGAGATGAATGCCTTGTTCGCTCCAAAGCTGGAGGAGATTAGGAGTAAATCTCCCGTGTTCTCCACTGGTAAGACCAGGCGCCCGTCCCCGCATCCCCTGTGGTGTCCCAGCCCCTCGGCATGGCCTGGCCAAGGTCCCTGCTGCACCTCCATGTCCGGAACCACCGCCTCGTGTGCCCGTCACCTGCACTCTCCTCTGCCCTGTCGGCTTGCCTCTCGGGCCCCAGTCCCAGCTCCCGTCTGACCTCGGCTGACTCCCCCGGGGCCAGAGATGGGGGTGCAGGTCTGGCCACCGTCACGGCACCCTGGAGCCCCACCCGGGTGGAGGCTGGGGCCAGGCCGTGCTCCCTGACACCTGCGGCGTGGAGCGTAGCCGTGGACACGGGCTCTGGTGCCCCTGCCACCCTCCCGCCCAGCTGGGCTGGTCCCGACGGCCGGGGCCAGCGCCTATCCCCAATCCCGGTCTCCCTCCAGGGCCAGCACCAGGGGTCCCGGCCCCTGGCCCCGCACCGCAGTCCTCCGGGATGTCGGCCGCAGTCAGTGGTTCCCCGCTGGACGGCCCCGCTGCCCCAAACCTGTGCACGGTGCTCAGAGCCGTGACGTCGGGGCTTCAGAGTTTGCAAAGCGCTGAGTGGAGCCTGTGTCCCTCGGCCCCAGGGACTCATTTACGGCCTGAATTGCACTGAGCAGCCCCGCTCCCGAAGCCCTGGCCAGGGCCGGTGACAGAGCACCCCGTCATGGGGGGTGGACCCCAGACCGGGGGGAGGGGTGGAAGCTGAGCCGTCCTCCTGCTCCCCCCGCACCCCTGCAGCCTTGCTGTGCGTCTGTCCGTCCACCAGCCCCACCCCCACGCTGACCACCCTGTTCTCTCTGTCCCCCATGCTGCCTCCGTAGTTAGGAACTGAGAGCGGCCCAGTGCCAGGTAACGGGGCCCGGCCCCCGTGCGCCCGATGCCGCCCTCCGCCCCAGGAGGCCCCCGTGGCAGAGCAGCAGCGGAGCTGGAGGGCAGGGTGCAGGGCAGCCACATGGGCGCGGGGCCCTGACTCGCTCCTCCCCCTCTGCCCACAGAGGCCCGCTCCTTCTCCACGCAGAGGTCGGTCTCCTCCCTGTGCAGCCTGGAGACCATCGCCGAGGAGCCAGCTCCGGGCCCCGGCCCCCAACCTCTGCTGGCTGCCCCGCCCAGCCCCTGCCCGGGACCCGGTGCCAAAGCCCCGAGCACTCCAGGGGTGGCACGGGGAGCCTCCGGGCTCCTCCAGCTCAGGACCGGGAGCCACGGAGACACTGAATCGGTCCCTGACAGCAGGCAGCAGGCGTGCAATGGCGAGGTCCCCAGTGGGGTGTGCGAGGGCACCCCCAGCAGCCAGACGGACAGCAGGGGCCACCCCCGGGCCCCGGGCCCCCTGCCCGTGGTCAGAAGGGCCGAGACTGAGGGGCTGGTGCCCTCTGAGCCCCTGGGTGGACGAAAGCCCCTGGCTGGGCCCTCACCAGCCAGGTACTCGGACGCCACCGCCGGAGACCCACTATGGCAGCCACTGGAGCCAGGCAGCCACAGTGACAGCGCGTCCTCGTCCTGTAGCCTTTCGTCCAGCGACACAGTCATCGACCTCTCTCTACCTGGCCGGAGCCTGGGCTGCGAGAGCTTCTCAGGGGCCCCAGCCGGACGCCTGTCCCTGCGGCCCTGCCTGGCCTTGGCCGCCCAGCTAGACCTGCTCCCCGTGACCAAGAGCAAGTCCAACCCCAACCTGTGGGCTGCAGCCCCGGCACCTGTGGCCTCCTGCAGGCTTCGGTCCCAGCCCCTGGCCCCTCGGCCACCCTGGGAATGCCTCCCCCTGGTAAGCCTCCAGGACTGCCCAGTGGCCGCCAAGTCCAAGAGCCTGGGGGACCTGACCGCGGACGACTTTGCCCCCAGA